TATATATACATACATACATATAGAGAATAAAACACTGCTAAAAAATATTTGATAATTTCATAATAAAAGTGAAGAAATCTCTAAATAGAAAATGTACAGTGCCCTACATCTTTTAATCGAATTCACCATTATGTAAAAACAAATAAAGAAAAAGGAATATTTTTGAATTGCAACGATTTTTCAATATCATTCATTTTCATATTAACACGCTAATAAAACTAACCGTTCGAGTCGACTATGACATCATAGGACAGACTTTTAGTGACCTTTTGCTCCCCGAGGAAGTTATAAAATTCGGAAACCAGCTCCAGGTTTCCGGCAAATGCCGCGCAGTGGATTGCCGTCCGGCCTGCGTTGTCTCGTCCCAAAATATCGGCACCTCCGGCCACCAGCTGAAAGATGCAAAAAGCAGGCCACACTCAGAATCTGTTTCCAACATACTACTAGAAGCTATTCCAACGACTAAAAACTAATTTTAGAAGAAGACAAGTTCTCTTCCCTTTCAGCTGTTCCTGTTCACATTTTAACTATACGTAATTAATTAGTGTTAGGACAATAATTGACCTACATAGATATGTCATACCTTATGGCAAACGCCGGAATGACCATAAAGCGCTGCCAGATGCAGCGCACTGCTTCCGTCACGAGCCGTGTGACTCGCCTGAGCACCCCGATTTAAAAGGCATTGGACCAGCAACTCGTGGCCGTACCGAGCGGCGATGTGTAACGTGGTAAGACCATGTCTGTATGAAACGATATTGAACGCAAAAATACCACAAAATCAATAGCAGATCAATGGCAATAGCTGCAGTATTATGAGCAGACCCAATAGAGTTCGTTAACGAGTGATTTATTTGCAAACTTCCATAAAAATCTCATACTGTTTGCATAAGTTGTATTGACGAGCTTTTCTCGATTAACCAGTTCAGTATAGACTCAACGTCCCAGCGAAGCTAAACCGCCTATATATATGTGGTCGTGGTTCGTATAATTCACTTCCATAACTTCTATGTTTCTACCTTTTTTTTTTTCTATTCTGTTTCATGATCAACGTCAGCATATAGTTAATGTTAAATACCTATAAAGCACGGTTTTAGCAATTAAATAAGTCATGTTAATGCTACGAGTGGGTATCTTTTGTGTGCTCTAACCGCCAAAGGTGGAAATAACTAGAAAGAAATAAACAACAACTGCTAAAAGTAGTGCAGCAACGCTACGAGGGTATGAGTTTTTTTCCTGAAACGATACAGTGTAGTCTGATAGTTACTGTGATAGTGTAATGATAACGTGTTTGTCTATTGACATAGAAGCGGGAATAGACAAACCTTCTTTTATGCTTTGAGCACTTGTCTGTGTTGCTGGGGCAGGTGTAAAGTTTGAAACATTCACCTGTCTACCATTTGGCTGGAGCAAATCGGCCTAAATCACGCGCGGCTGATAATTGTTGACTATGGGACGACACCAGGACCGTGCCTTGATGTCAGGCAGCCTGTCATAGATGAGTTGCTGACGTCAAACAGTCAGTGTAACTCTGGCTACCTTTGTTATAAGGTCATGCGCTGTTCCGAAGAAAATAACCACGCATAAATATATCCAGTAGCTTGCCACGGTCGTGGCGACCGGACTGATTTATAATGTCGCTTTAGTTATTCTCTGTTTATTTCTTAGTCGTCGGTCGTTGTCAGATTTTGTCGAGCGATTTGAGCAAATCGGCTCTAGTAATAACATTGAGGTAAAAAAAAAACGCAGAACACTAAATATGCATAGATAAACGGCTAAAGGTCGTCTGTGCGTGAGCGTAAATGTGGACCGATTAGATAACAAGGATATTGGACTGATGGATACAACAAGCCATGAAGGATAACAAGCTATTGGACTGTTTTTATTCCACGAGCTTTACACACCATCTAATGACCTTTTAGCAACGACTCTTTCGTTAAAAAATATGAGAATCGTTTACAATCAAACGCCTGGCTTAACCGTACTTTTTACACGTATAGAAATACCGAAAATTTAATTTCACATAGATAAGTTTATGGGCACGACCTCGTTCTGAATGCCCATTCCTGTTCCAAATGCTAAAACTATTTCGAGATGTTCCTCGTCTCTCACCGATCAGCCGTGTTGAGTTGAGCTCCGGCATTAATGAGGTTTTGGGCCCTTGTGACCCTCCCGTGGATGGCACTCATGTGAAGTGGCGTTCGTCCGGATCCGCTTTTGGCATTGACTAAAGCGCCCATCGCCAGCAACAGCTCAACGCACGTCCCTCCGTGAGTGGAGGCTGCTGCGTAATGAAGTGGCGTATAGCCTGTAATGTAGCGCAAACAGAAAAGCCGTGCAACACAGACGAAATTAGGCGAGCTCAAGCCGAGAACATAGCAAAACAGTGTTCACATTAGAGATGCTGACAAATACGACGTAAATAAGAAGAAACCAATCGAAGATACTGCGAAGAACTTTGCATTTCCACATGATAATGTACAAACCAATAGGTCTGCACGATTTGACCACTTATACATTTGCTGAGAAAGCTACCCAGCTGGTCGGAATTTCAAATCAGCCGATTATAAGCACATCTTCGCTCACGTACCTCAAGAACAGAATAGCCAAACTTACCTAGCGCGTTTTTGGCTGATACGGGCGCTCTGGCCGCGATTAAGCACGATGCAACTTCGGACTTCCCATTGAGCGAACATATATGTAAACCCGTGTTACCTCGGCCGTCGGGCACGTCGAGGCGAGCCCCCATTGCCAACAGCGCTTGAACTGCGCCAGGCCGTCCCCCGGCGCAGGCCGCATGTAACGGCGTGAGCCGATCCTGGTCGAACACCTCAAGTTGGGCGCCATGTTGCGCAAGCAGGCGTAGAAGATCGGCGTGCCCAAGAAAGGCTGCATAGTGTGCGGGACGCCGCTGTTTCTTATCGAGAATATCCGGGCTGGCGCCGTGATCGAGCAGAAGTTTCGCCATTTGCACGTGTCCGTTGAATACGGCGTGGTGTAGGCACGTCCGACCGAACTTGTCCGATATGTCGAGAAAGTTAAATTTCAAATGAGCTGACCCGTTCGTGGCGGCCTGTCGCCGTTCCTGGTGAGCGAGAATCGCTTGGGCGCATGTCAATGCGTTGTTTGCTGCCGCCACATGAAGAGGTGTTTGCCACAGTTTATCTCTAGCGCTAACGTCGGCACCAGCCTCGAGCAGTACTCGGCACGTTTCGCCGTAATCGGGCCAGTCTTCCTCGTCGTCAAGACCGGCCAAATTGAGCGTTTGGAAGGTGGTGGCCGATGCTAAGGGATGCGACTGGAACGAGTGTGAATTACAACGAACTAGACCGACGATCGAATTTTCGTTGCGTGACGAATTCGGTAAGCCGCAATTATTATACCATTCATTGCTGCCGTTGCTTTTCGTTGCTGACCATGAAGATGACATTGGTGGGTTGGTTGTAACTCCGAGATCTGTTCGCCCGTTCGGCGGCAGTGAGGACGCTGACGACAAAGTCGTAAGCATTGCCCCGGCGTTCAGCAGTGGGTTGTGTGGATCAACTGAAGTGTTCACTCCGCACTGGTCAGGTACATTACCCAGAATCCAATCGAGCAAGGCTTGATCTGGCGGACAAATTTGAACACCGATACAATTTCTTTAAGTTACCTTTCTATCAAATACCAGGTCGAATATCTCTATCTCAAGATGCTATTGTATAGCTCACGACATGTCGACTGGATTACAGTTTTTGTATTTCGACAGTTAGTAAAACAACGACATCTTTTTAAGAGCATAACGCTTAGTAATTATAGCACTGATATTATTCGTTGTAAAGCACTAAATAACTCCTTGTATTCACCCCTACATATTTGCCTTTCTGGCAGGACTTACATCGAGTCTGTAACCGCATACAAGCTGAAAGACCTTTTCTCCCATATAATTACGTTAGTACACTTTATACGAACGACGGGCGTTTACAAGCGATCACGCTTAGGTATATTACAAGTCTGCTCACATATCTTCAGCCAACAAGTCCCATGCAAAGTGTACCCACATATGCAATTCTAAGGCATAGTCAATTTCCGGTGGCGTACTGGGCAAGGAACGTACGTCGTAGCTAGCAAATGAAGGCCATTTGATATTTTGAGTAGCTTTGCCCACCGTCAGCTGTTAGCCTTATCAAACTACAGGACCGAGAGGCCAAGTCAATGCCAAAGAACTGACATGACCTGAAAGGCACACAAGTGCTCGGTTTTAAAATACGTTATTTTTCGACCCCGTCTTTGGAGTGCTTGCGACGTCAAGCCAATCATTAAATAGCTCACATCGAACGTAAGTAAGTAAAGCAATTGTCAGCGAAGGTGCTGCGAAGAATGCTGAATTTTTTGAGGTTTCTCTACCTTTCAGACCAAGCTTTGTCAGCTAAAATTTATTCTTGGTCTGCAAGCACGGAAACCTAACGCTACAAACATGGTTGGACGTGGAAAAGAAATGTAATACTTTTTAATGTACCCCAAATGTACTGCATGTGAGTAGTCTTTTCTAATCGTTATACCGCGGACAAACGCTTGAAGTTACCCTAATTTATCTCCTGTCTCTATCAGCAAGTTCCCTTATCGCTGCGGAGTTATCTAAATCTTAAGTTGGGACCTGTCTAAGTTTCTTTAATCAAAGGATCCCTGATATTATTATTATTAATCGGCCTTTCTTATTCTCGTTTTCTTTAAATGTTGAAATGTCTCCATCTACACACCTCAGATATTTAGGAGGAATGAAACTGCCAAGTCATGAGCAAATCACCGCAGTGCGTTCTTACCATGATTATAACTAGCGTTGCCGTTGATGACGGCAGTAGATGATCCAGCGACAACGTTTGACGCAGAAATTGGTGTCGATACCGATGTTGCCCCATTGGTAAAATGACTGATCGTCACAAGGGGTTGGGGCTCCTTATACGGACTAGGAAAGTTTCCTCCTGAAAGAATTCGCCGATTAGGCGGTAAGGGTCTGTCAACATCAAGGCCTTGCATCAGGTCTGGCTTGAGAGCCTCCTCCTCACGCGCACCCGGGACTTCTTCACGACAGCAGACTCGGTGTAGGGGCGTAATCCAAAATACGTCCTTCGCATTGACCCGCGCACCTAGAAATTAGTTGTGCAGACCCAAGCAAGAATCGTACATAAAACGGCAGCGGTAACGGCCAGCATGGAAGACGAAGTTAAGCACACGAAAATGAAACGAAATTCAGATTAGCAGTGAATGTTGCTTGTGCTTTTTATATTACATTGCACAGCCAAATAGATCTATATTTAGGTTATTAATCTTGTAACTAAAGGAACAAGACTGAATTGTGTACAATTGCTGTTCTTTTTCATCACTCCATTATGTATATATATAGCTGTCGCCGTAGCGGTTCTCATGTAACGAAGATTTCTCTACCAGTTAACTCTACTCGTATCGGTCTATGTTGTGTACTGTTATATCAACGCGCGCCATTTTCTGCTACATAAAAACCAGCGATAAATACAAAAACTGACGGAAAACCCACGAATCTTTTATATAGTGCCATCTTATGGGTCGTGAACTACCAACCCTCTGCATGATTGCTTGACAGAATGCGCCGGAATTAAAGGTCGAAATACTCTGCGATCATTTCTTTTTGCATCATCTTATTTTGATTTTTATTGTATTGGGGGTTGCTTGTAAGAAGTGTTCGATGTACCAATTGACCTCGTTATCGCACCGCAAGCAAAGCTCGACAATATCAACTAATGCACGTATTATATATCCTAATAACCCCAGTTGTTATTAACCCACCACGGGCGGTTGTTTCTTTACCTACGCGGGAGCCGCTCTGGGAAGTAACTGAACCATCAAGCTCGAAAAATCTAGGCCTCTGGATAGATAACATTGGCTCGACCGAGCCGTACGGTGTCGACAGAACGGCATCGCATACATCCAGCTGGATACGTTAGCGTACGTCTGAGGAAGAGGTAGTTTGTAATGTCAAGGTTGCTAAAGACATAACACTAGGCTAGTAAGCACGAAAGGCTGAAAGACCGGGAGGGAGGAAACCAAATAAAATCCTATAGCCAATAGCAGAGCCATTACGATGACAGCGTGAGTGTGTGTCTAAGCTTGCCAACTATATGTTCGAGATTCTTACAACAAGGCCAAAGTAAGCACGCATCAAATAGAAGACACCCGGTCTCGACGTCAACCGACCGCTTATATAATGCGCGCGGTTCCTGCTTCTGCTGCTGTTGCTAGAGATCTACACACACGGCGGTTTTTAAACATGGCGATACGATCTTCCATGACAACATCTGCTCCATGCAGTTCACGAGGTTTGTTCTAGCTAAAAAGGCCGAGACGAGACAAGCTGCTGCTGCTGCTGTGACCCATTGCCTATTAGTTTGTTGTCTATTGTATTAGTGAGATGCTATTGAAAAGCAGGGCCATAGGCCCACAGGACTGTACGGATCGAATCTAGCTCGTTGTTTATATGAACAAAGGTTTTTGCCGATGAGCAGCTTATCGCTTAGGTGATTGAGGTATGTGAATATGAAGGCAGATGACAAGGTGACTAGCTGTGAATCCCGGAGCAGTTTGATTAAAAAATAACTAAAGGATTTTACATCATTATTTTGATTTATTTATTAAATAACTGAGTAGATAGTTAATGTGCTAGGTGTGGCAAGCCAAGATAAGCGGTCGTAGCTATAAACATACACAATTAGTTATATTGATATTTATTTTTGCAATTCCTATTTGCCAGGGCAACACGGACATATCTGTATCAAGGGAGAAATTAGGCTGCGAACATTTAAGCGGATCCTTTGTAATGAGGTAAATCTTGCACGCTATGCTGAACAGCTGATTCTGGGAGCTTGGTCACACAGAGAGGATAGCCGAGACGAGAAGAATCATTATTTCAATTCATTCTGCAAGCCGGCACCAGTAAATAAATTTTGTTTTTTTCAAATTTTTTGTGCCAACAAGATCGTTGGATTTCACATATTCTTCAACCTTCTATTGTGTTTTCCTTATAGTGATAGAACAGTCTATGAAATATGGTGCATGCCTCAAGCTGAGCGCTACATTTTTCACCCTTTGACAGGCGTGGTTTTGTGATGCAGATTAGAAAAGTCATTTCACATTAGGATACCCAAGTATGTTTTTTTATTATCCCTGTTTTATGCGTTTTGCGTCGAGACTCGATAAGCTGTTTTTCGGCCGAAGTAATTTTGAAAGCACGTTTTGATAAGATCGCGTGTGCTGATAACTCAGTGATAAGGTTGAGATTCACGAAGTATTGTTGATGCTCGACGTGTTGACCTTGTCCAATACTATATTCATTGTCATAAACTGTCCCTCTCAGTAAATGCCAGTGCATGCTTCGCTACGGTACACACCAATCGGCAGAGACCGACAATAAGGCAACATCCTATCTCCAAAGAACGGTGGAGCGCCGCTGAACATTGCGTACAACGGAAAGGGGCACACGACCTATCATTTAACCAGAGTATTACCTGCCACGACCTTTTCAAAAAGGCAGTACAGCCTGTGACGAACGGAAGAGCAGAATGTACTCAGACATGATATTCTTCAGTGGGAAATGCTTGGGAAAGGTGAAGGGAGATCGCGCAAACCTTGTCCTCAGACGGCCAGCATATGGTAGTGAGGGGATAGATGCATTGTTCCCATTGTATGTATACCTAAGAGGGCTAGGACGAAAAAAAAATTAATTGAAAACGACCGGGCCAGGCGTTCAAATGAATACAGATAATTGGCTTTTTCTTTTCTGGCTTCAAATCCGCTTTCAGTCAACGTTTTATCTATGTTTAGTGATTCGAACCCGTGGTTATCGACCGACACCAAATAGGCCTACATCAACTAGCCGCATTAAAAATAAACCTCGTTATATAAACGACACAGAACACCAGCCCCGATGAATAGACTAGATTAAAAATTAGATAACGATAATCCATGGAAAATTACTTTTTCCTATATAGTACTTACCCACTAAGCGGCATTTCGGTCTTCTCATGTGTTTTGTTAGACATATCTATTAGATAACACCATCAGCTCTCCACAAGGGCTCGCTTACTGGCGCTACCCCGGACCGCTACTGAGTGAATTCCATTGTGAAAACAAGAAAAATATGGCAATCGCTGCTCAAGCCATCGTGTGATCATTGAACTGGCGGCCAGTTAGCGCTTTCTATCGGATCATCAACTATCGTGTAACTTGTAAGATATTTAGTGTAATATTTATCTATATATGTATGCGTTTTACGTTCTCGTGGACGAAAACTCTCTCTGCCTCTTTCTTTCTATATATATATATATATATATATTGTATGATAATATAATCAATGGGGCACCCATCGAAGGACTGGTTGAACAAGAGGGCGCGTCAGAAGTCTTTCGGCACTTGGCGATCTCTGCCGGCTACTGCCGGGAAAATGAAAGGGGCTTCGGACGCCGCACGTGGTGTACGTAAAAAAGTTAGTGCAGCTTTAACTAAAATGCGGTTGTATGGAGCCAAACACAAGCTCAATCGAACGATCAAAAGGGGTTTTTGCAATGTCCATGTTTTGTACGTACGTACATACATCAGAGTGAATGTGGTATAAGGCGGCACACAATGGGTATACAAGAGTGGCTATTAGTTGGGTTCATGCAAATCTGGAAATAAAAAAAAGTAATCTAAGCACAGAATTTCCACGAAGTACGCAGGCAAACTCCGTGCCGTGTCCTTCCACTAATTATGGGCTAAAACTTTGTTAGTGTCGATATACGACATCGAAACTCTTCGCGTAGGCAGATCTGAGTTAGGCCAAACACTAGATTTTAATTAGGAAAAACCGTCACGGGCTTGCTGGAGCCGATGTGCGTGACTGATATGCACAATAGTATGCTTGCTTTAGCCTTAACCAAATGTTAATGATGAATCGAACGAGGTTTTTCCGGATATTTGCTGAAGAGCGTACCAATGGCGGAATATCTCTTCGACCAGTGAAATGTATACCTTCGACAAGTTTAAATTATGCTCATAATTAACATAGAACAAAAATATCGGTAAGGTCAGAACTTTTTTCATAGAAAAAAAAAAAAAGGACTGCCTTTGATTATGTCAGACCTGCGAAGTCAATGCGTGCTGGACATTATTGGTGGCAGAAATTCCAACAGAACAATACCCAGTTAGCAATTTTACCTATGCAATGGTCTGGTACGATTGACCTCTCAGAAACGCACCGAGACATTCAAGTTTACGCCGTGCTACTCGTAACGATAAAAACGATCAAAATCTCGAAATCAATAACTGACTAAATACTTTCAGTCTATGTGCCCCATAGTACTATGCCTTACATACGAATAGTGCCCGCGTGACGCTTAATCATGAGTAAACGTTAAGGAACTGATCAGCAGCAGTAGAATACTATTATCTATGTGTAAGCATGACTTTGAGACATGAAAACATGAGATCTATCCTACAAACGGACTGGGAACAAAAACAATATAATAAACAAGCGGCTAGATATTGATATAAGTAGAGAGTTTTGCAGAGATTCTCTCCTATACTCCACCACTCCCCGTTCCACTTCGACTTCACACCTCAGCCCAATAAACAAGTGTCCTTGCTAAGTGTTTTACTACTATGTCGTCGCACTGCTCACGAACAAATGTACGGAACACAACTAATAGTACCATAAATACGTGCGTGTCCAATAGAGGCGGTTCGTTTATGTACGACACTGGAATGATCTGAACGATTAATGGCGTTTCATTGTGCCTAACATTCGTACGTACATAACCGCATGACAGACAAATATCTATACCTGTACATACTTATTAAATACTATTACGTAGTGCTATTAAGTAGAATATCAGATGGAGTGTCGTAAATGGCCATACGGGTGAAGGCACTAGTGCTGATTCTGTTGCGTTGGTTGATACGATACTATTGGTATAGCTGGACTGGAACTATTACATACCTGTACGAGCAAGATGGCTGCATAATTATGGTTGATAGCTATACGCTGTGTGTACACGCAGCGTGTACTGATCAAATAAGAAGTGCTCCCTTGTTGGGGCTAGCGTCAACATTGACGAATAGAGTACGTAGAACGCCTAGAAAGTGCCTATGTGTCATAAAGCTGACTATAGAAATGATTGAGGAGTCTATGATTACGCCGACATTGGAGCTGTTCGGAAGGCTGGCAGATATTCTGTTTGTGTTGTTTCCGTTTCAAGTCAATAGCTATGACCCACAAAATGCTAATCGATGGGTCGGCAGAGCGCTGCAAAACGGGTTAACGGAAATAATTTCGTCTAGATGCACTAGATTGCACCAACGAATCGTAAGTAACGACTTCCCGTTTACGCGGGCTGCGTTTACGTCACTTCACAGGCTTCGGTTCTTGTATGAACAGAATAATTTGGTGTATTATCCAAAAGCCGCATCAAACTAACATCCAGAAGAAGGCGACAAGTGTTGCGGTATACTGGTTGGAGCGTAACACGCTTTTCTACTCATCCGTCCGGCAGAGACTGTTTCCTGTACTGTGCTTGCGGTCGGCTATTACCCTAATCTCTTTAGAATTAGACCACGCACGTACAACTCAATCGACGCGAACCCAAAGACGTTCGCTTTGCCCCAGCGTTGTTTCATTATTCATTATCATTCGTACGGGTTACTGATACGCGTACCCCTTGAAGACTACGGCGACCGCTAGGACTTATCAATTGGCTGTTATAATTGACACGTAGATAAGATTATTATGGCACCATGACGGTCGGGTTAAGCCAATCTGGACTAAAAAGCAAAGCCTTGATCATCTACGGGCAGTTACCCTATCTACAGTGGAAGCGTATCTATAATTACACGAGTATAATATGTTATATAGACTACGTCACAGGTATAATCAACGAAAAGGAACTGCGTCATCTATAGAATCCTCCGCTGCTGCTCTTTTGTACTAACTTTTTCTCAGGCAATTGAACCCCGACCGCACCAGCGCAAGCATCGCTACGTTTATTCAGGAGCTCAGTTTGAGTCATTTGATGGCATCACGCTTGAGCTGTGTTGCCCCCCCCCCCCCCCTCTCTCAATATCTTTTTGTTGTCGCTTACCTTTTTGGAGCAACATCCGTGTGATGTGGACATTACCGCAGAAAGCCGCTGCGTGCACCAAGGTTCGCCGCTGTTCATCGTGCCAATTCGGTCCGTCAGGATGTGGCGACGAGGCCAATTCGCTCTCTAACTGGCCGGGGTCGTTCAGAAATATCGACTGAACCAGCGCTGGCTGTAACAACAGCGTCTCTCGTTAATTCGTAATGTGTTGGCTAGCTAGACAATATATGTACATTTATGTAATTTGTGCAATTTTATATACGTAATGGGGGAAATTTTGCCTCACAAATGCCTATTGTGGTAATTATTAGGGGCCCGACACTCGGCACAGCAAGGGTATCACAATGTCGAGTTTCCATTGTGCTAAATCTAGTGCAATTTGGATTGCATCGCGAGGTAGGAGCGTATATAATGCAGCTAGCTGCCTGTTCATTCACAGAAAATACACGTTACTCACACACAGCTAAACATGTATTTAGTGAACTAAGAAACTCCCTAACTAATATTGGTGGCATTCCCTAGACGGCGTGGTGGAAAAATCAAATGTGGCGCATTGAAAACACAAACTGCTAACTTCGGCCTATTGTTCGCGACCCAGTAAGGCAAGGCGAACCTCCGTTTACAAAGCCAACGTCCTCTATTGAGATGCCAGGACATGGCGGCGTTTGCGTCTCGATCTACAACTGCTATACACAACATTGAGTGGCAAACATTATTAAATTCTCTTGGCAGACAGATCTTCCTCTGAGCTTCGTTTGTATGGTTCGTGGCTGTCGCTAAAAGAAGCTAATATATGAGATTACAGCCTTCTGACAGCCAACACGACGATCGCCGGATGTCGCCGAGTTAGACAGCAGTCGAAAATCACGAAGTACAATCTCAGAGTCGTCAGCTAATTCGGTTTGGTAGAGTATAATCGAATACAATTGAAGAGCAAAATTGAAGGGCCAGAAATGAGACAACCCACTCGGAGGGCCCTGGGAGTAGTCAAGATGACATTATTGAGATAGGTTTTTGCAGAGGCATCTGTTACTAGAAGAGCTCTTCTCAGAGAGACGGATTAACTACAACTGGATGGCAGTGATACAATGCTAGTGTTGTGTTTTGTTTAGCTAGTAATGCTGAGCCGGTTGGCTCGCGCAGTCGTTTTCTACCCTATGATATTATATAAAAATATTTTAGTTGACCATTGGTCTCGAACCGGCGTACCCTGGGAATTTTGGCAAACGCATCATCTTAGAGTCACCGCTAGAACTAGGGCAAGTTGTACTAGACTGCTGTACTAGACACATGCATGTTAGCCGCTATTGAACACGAAGGACCGGCCTAGAAAAAAGAAAACGCATTTCACAACCAAGCTTCTCAACGAAGCCACTCCGAAGCGCTGCAGCTAATTGGGGCCGGCCTAATAAAGGCTAAATAAGAAGCCGGCCAGATGAGAACCACTTGAAGCAGACCACAGCTTTAAATACACGTAACATCACAAATAATGTTGCACTGATGTTCATGTTTCACTTGTGCCTGTGTGTGTGTGTTTTTTTTATAATCTACCTTTATGAACTCTGCTGTAGTGTAATAAAGGTTATGGATAAGTTCAAGTTGATTCTGAGCCACGGCCTGCCCTATGGCAGCTTGTTCAGTCGTCTTCTATATAAGAAAGGCCTTTCTTAAAGACTTAATAACTCAACAATTATCGATTCAAAGATGTAGAACACGTATGCGAATATAGGAGTACAAAAATGTTTGATATGATTTTTCTATAGGAAAGACTTACTGCTCTAAACGAAGATGCTAGAACCAATGTGTGAAGGCTACATCACTCCGCAAAATGAATCGAACTAGATTACTTCGCCGCTTTGCGGAAGCGATGGGACAGTCATATCGAGGCACCCTCAGATCTATTTTTCACCTCCGATTTTTATGTGCTTCCATCTATTATGTCACATCATACTGTTATTAAATCAGGAAACGACTCCGAAAATCCAACCGTCGTAGTTCGCGACAGCCCCTGCTTCAAAGATGCCATATCGGCACGGATGCAATCCACTGTCAGTCAACACTAAGCCCAACTCTCTTAAAATCTAGCGACGGAAATAGACTGATACTTTACCCTCAATCCAGTTATCTCTTTTAGCAAATCTAGCTAAGTAACAGTGGTAGCACTTTCAAATAAAACGTTTTTTTGCCAACGTTTTTTTTCCTGGTTAGAACCGTAACACGTACGTAACGATTTACCGCTAATTTGAAAACAGTGTTTCGGCAAACGGAAGCTGTTATATACGTATCTTTTTCCGGTCTTACCCAGCTAGCGACCTTCGCTTGCCCCTATATTCCGTCGTTTTCGGCCTATCTGCAAATAGCTAAGGATAATTCCTCTCAGCCTGATAGATGCAATGCCTAACAACGGTTCCAGATGTAAAATCCACAATCCTTTAAAATTCCCGTGCCCCGTGGTGCTTAATTCATCCAGTCGTGTTAAATGAATTAGCTAAGATTTTCCGGTAGCACGCTAGATGGGGCTGCACAAAATCATGTAGAGTATATGTAATAATGTAAGTTATTATCGACTTGCGACTTGGCAAATTCAAGTAGTATACGTTCCGGAAATACATACGCATACGTATCTTCCCTCAACCGATTGACGAGATAACGAAGCTCGGCAGTGCTTAGTGCACCGTAATAGTAAGATATAATAGTTTTAGGTAAGTTTTGATTGTTGCGGAGGGTGGTAGCTCAAGGGAAACGACCCGGTTGTCCTCTGTCCATATAAAATAAATCGGCTATGGAACTATCGAAACAACGATAACTTCTTAAAATTAAATTAATGCCTCAGTCCCTAGGAGTAGAACACTGGAGGATATTCGTTAAAATTACGACCTGAGAAAGTCGCTTCTAGTGTAACTTTCCATAGACTAGTATCACTTTTCTATGGCAATTGATTGCATCTGGCTCTATCAGCATCCATACTTCCGTGGTTTACATACGCATATGGCCTTACATATTATTAATATCCATTAACATCTAGCCTGATTCTGCAAGAATCGAACAGTTCGTCCGCCTATGCAATTAGCTAGCTCGTTCAGTGTCTGCAGCATATCGCATGCATGCATGCATGCATGTATGTATGTATGCAGCAGCTTGTTAGCTATATTTCAGTCTATCCACTCAATTCCTAATCCAATTAATATTTCGGTTCGAAGAGAGCGACGGAAGGAGCAAGTACAGCCACGACAGCTACAGCGATACCGGCAGCATTGGCAGACTGTCGTCATAGACCAAGGCAACAAATTAAGGCCAGTCATTCCTCTTCTCGCCCGTTTGCTCCTTGGATTTCAGTGGTTAGCACGGTGATAATCATGACGGTAACAGTTGCCAGTCCATTAGCCCCTCCTTCTACAAGTCCAACGAGAGGTGGTAGTTATCTCGCATCTTTTTGGCAAATTTTGACGTGGTACGTCTTTAAAGTCGTCTGACCAATTGGCGGACCTGTAGAAAGGGGGATAACGATTATGCACATGCCCGTCGGCCATGATTGCCACTGTACAAGGTTGCCTTTCGGGCACACTAGCGATTCACCCAGCGCTTTTGGAAAACAAGCGGAAGATCAACGATACTTGGTGCTGCTTGCGCGAAGGCTTCGTTCACCCCCAGCTGGCGGAGTCCAACGGCACTGCTGGGCAAATAGCGCTGGTGGAGTTATTTCGGGAAGGATTTTATTCGGACGGGACAACGCCGGGACCTCGTAGCAGACCTTCACTTTCAGCTAACGTTGACGCGGCCATAGTTATGTTAAGCACCGTTCGTTTCGCTTTCAAGCATACATAAACCGAACAGATACACTTAACGATGTTTACAGCAGCCCTAGCAGGAGCAGTGGCCAACAAGTAACAGTAATAGCTGCTTCTCAACCTCTTGGCTAGGATGTCGTAGCGAGATGATCGCGGCTGCCAAATTTCTTGCTACTGATTGGTACCGTTGCAGCGGCGACCACTACTATTATAGCCATTTTTGTTATTACTACTTGATGATTACAGAATCCCGGCTGCTTGGCTTAACCGGCGTGTGTTTGCCGGCTAGAACATCAGAGAGAAGCAGACGAATCAACTGTGGAGAAGTTAGAAGAGGATAAATGAAATCTTCGATGGCCTTCAACAAAACGCTCACTATCCCGTTTCCGTCAATATAGAGGTGTCCAGGAGATATCAATAACAATATTAATTGCTATTGAAATTTCATACTGTTGCTGCTGCTGCTACTACTACCGCACAAATTGCGCACTGGTAGATAGGGTTTCATTCAGTTTTTTCTGCATTATCCAACCGTACCGAATATATATATATATATATATACTGAGTTGTTAGGCGGTTAATTACTCTGAAGTATAGGTAAGAGTCTGTACAAGAAGCATCGTAAATGAATGAAGGATGGTCATGAATTTTATTCGGAGAAACCCCTTGCGGGACAGGAAGTGAAGCGAGTAAGATGAAGCGGCAAATTCATAGTAGTAAGCTGACATAAACGGACCGAAATATTATACATTTTTCTCGATTTAACTTCAAATAACCACATTGGTTTGTCTTATTGACAAAGTCGTTTTGCAAACCAGCGGGCCTTTCCATTATACAAGAACACAGTATTCATTGTGGGCAAGGCCCAATACAAAAAAGTTCTGTTTGTGGACAGCCGTAAGCTGAACGCTTTTCTTGCCATCGTATCATAAACAAGTTCATCGTTAATTCTATGTTATTGTACACAATATGCAGTATTCATATTACTGTTTACTACCTACATATAGGTTTTACAAACTGGGTCAGATAACCTTGCCAAATTCGCTCACTGTTGGAAGTGGCTTCAACAGATGTGTCGCATTATCAAATCGTACTCGAAGCCTCTTAGTTACGCGAAGCATTGACATAATTGTGACTTGCCACACCGTCTTTCGACTGTTGCCAACCGGTAGAACTATTCCGCCTATTGATCATGCTGTCGTGCGCGCACTTCTGAATTCTGTCGCGTATGCACCCATTTGCCGAACACAAAGCACAACTTCGACTTTCTCCGTATGTCTATCTGGTCGTGCACACGGCCAGAGTGCTGCAAAACGATACCAACTGAGAACATTAAAACCAATATCTAAACACAAGTCAACCTAACAGAATACCAAACAGTAGC